TCTTTGATTCAAGACTTTTGGCAGCCTGGTTGGTAGTACTCTCTTATTTGAGGTTCTTGCTTATCTGATTTTTTTCATATTGATATCTATTTCTTAGGTCTAGCCTTTACAATAGTACTATTAAAAACCTGTGCTATCTCTCTACTTGAGTCTTTCCAAGTGGGCTTCAGTTTTTCAGTTTACAGATTTATACAGCTATAAGGACTTATTTTAGGTTTGTACTGCCTAATGCTAGTTTGCATTTCTCTATATAACTCCAATATTGTGCAGATGCCCCATAACCTGCCAGTTATTTAGTGTGATCATGTTACAAGTACTAATTCCAACTAATTGATAGAGTGCTGTTGCTATAATACTGCTTATTTTTTATAATACTGATATAATATAGGTAGTTTTTCAAATTTTTACTGTTAATAGGTTTTGAACTTCTAACTTACTACTTGAAGAGTTGATAACTTATCCATTTTACTAAGTCACCAAACCCTTAGTTTAAAAATCTTTTTTTTTTATTTTTTTAAATGTTAAGGTAAGTACATGCAACCCAGGATTTTACTGATAGTATAAGTTGGCCAGTGTCTGTACATGTATATGTTCAGACACAGAGGCAATTACAGAAAGAGTGTACAACTAGCCACTTGTACAACTTTAGTCATTGTCTAATTTAAGTAGTCCACCCGAAGGTTCTATACTAGTTGCTATACCTAGAACCCACCTGTAGATCCTCTATTTAAACACTCTGATCCTGCATCTACCACACCCTATCAGTGACTCCAGTAAACCAGTGAAAATATGCCATGGTCACTAAGTCATGTTTAACTTTGTACTAAACCTACTGATGCATTCTGTATCCCATACTTACAGCTCACCCGGTCATGCTTTGGTCTAAACCATTACTTGCAGTTAGGGCTAATTATTAAACTGCTTTTACCTTTGTAAGGTTCACCCAAAACCCCGGTATCCATCTTTCTGATATCCTCTCTATCATCTCTTACTAACCACTACTTAGGACTGACAGGACTTCCTGAACTTCCAATCCAGATGGCCTGGTATGGTATACCTTAGTATCCTTTTCCTCCAGTGATTCTGGTAGCCTGGTTGGTCATGTACTCTTCTACTCATCTTGCCATTCAGTTTATTCACCTATCTCTTTGGGGGTGTTTCATGGGCTTCCATCAGTCTGACAGCACCATCAAAAGTTTTGTGCTACCTCCTTACTCGGGATTTCTAAGTGGGTTTCTGATTCTTCAGTTCTTTTGCTTTCTGCGCCCAGTGGTCTTATCATGGGTTTGCACTGAAGTCTTATACAACACCGCTTATTAACATTCCTCTATGTGTGTAATGTTACACTTAGCATAGATGCCCTGAGCTCCTATTCGAGATGGTGTAACAAAGGTTACAGATACACTAATCCAACTGATCAATAGAGACAGTTACCATAATACAGACCTATTTTCTAAAATTTGTCATTCATGGGATTTGAACTCTAGATCTGCCACTTGGGGGTTGACAACCTGACCACTTCACTAGGTCACCACACCCTTAGTTTAGAAATCTTTAATTTTAGAACTTATAATTTTATATATAAAAAGTTTTTACTTAAACATTAGATTAATAAAAAAAAAATAAAAAATGAGTAGATAGTCTATTAGTAAAACTAAACAAACAAGATAGCTTTAGACAATTAACAAAAATAAGAATAATGCAAGGCTACCAAAAAGTAGGTCTAACAGAAGATATATAGAAAATAAAGAGAATATATATAGTTGAAAAAATATCTTAGCATGTCTAACAATATTAAAAACAAGAAAACTGAAAATAAATATAAGAACAGAAGGTGTTTTATAAACAATGTTTAAGTATAGCACTAAAATAAATAAGTTTATAGATATTCAATTATAGAAAAAAAGCAAAACTAGAATAAATAAAGCAGGTTTAATATACTTAAACTAGCTGTTAGATATAAAAAAAGAAAGATTAAATATATAGCAATAGCTAAAAAATTTTTAAGATTTATCAAATAAGAGAAAAAAGCAAAATAGTTCAAAATAATAGAATTAAAGATGCTCAGTAAACCAGAAAGCAAAAAGATCAAAAGACATTTTAAAACAAATAGACAAAATATACAAGCAATATAAATTAAATAGAAAAGTATTTTAAAAGATAAATAAAGAAAAGAATAAATAATATATGATGCACAAGATCATAGACAGTTGGGAAAAATAGTCAAAACAAAATATATTAGTAGAATACTGGCAAATACAAATAAAAAAGACAAACTAGATATTGAAATAAATAAATATAATAGTTATACTAGAAAAAAGAAACAAATAGAAGACAGCTGCCAACAAGAAATTAGAGCAAATAACAAAATTAATATTGTTTTAGACATGTTAATAAAAAAAAATAGTAACAAAATTAATATAGCAATAAATTAAATAACAAAAATAGTAAAAACAAATAGACTAAAATTTGAAGAGTAAAAACTTAAAAAAATTAGAATAATAAATAAAAATTATTAGATAATAAAAGCTAAAAAAATACATTTATTAAAAAATAATAAAAGTTTTAAGAAGAAATATAACAAAAAACAAAAATAAGTATATAATATACACAAATAGTGCAATAAACTTAAAGACCAAAGAAGATACATCAACTAAAAATAAAATAGGCATAAAATAGGTTCAAACAAATGAAACACAAAAATGACTAAAAAAAAAAAGTAATACTAGGTCTAGAAGGATAACATATATTAACAATAGTTAAGCTAATAGCAATATAATAGCAATCTTAATAATACTAAAAAAAAAGCAAGTAGAAATATATACAGTAAAAGGTCCTAATTCAGCGAGTCTGTCACTAATTAAAGGTCAACTTTGTGTAATGTTTAGACAGCTTTCAGTCAAAAGAAGCATGTAAATTTGGTAAGCAATTTTGATTCAGGTTTGGCTTATCCTGAATAGTTTATACTATGTCGAGACTATCACTCTAATTCTTCTGACACTGCAGTATTTTATACTATATTAAGAATTACTGACAATTAGGTTGGGATTTATTACTATTCCAGATTAGGTTTATTCTTTAACAATAGTTCTTTATAGTTACTTGTAGAAGAACCCTTAATTTATAATTTGCAAGATAGGAGAAATTTACTTTATTACTTGTGTGAATGTATATGTTATTTATAACTAATTTATTATTTATTTTTAGAGTACTGATATCTTATATATCTATTATTGTGATTATAATAATTATAATGCTTATATGCAATATAAGCATTATAATTATTATTAGCATTATAAATACTATTAGTTTCAGTATAGTAAGAAATCTTTATAATCAAGAGGGCATAACTTGAGATCATATAGCAAAGATCTTATGATGACATTGGCCATCTGTAGATCATGTGTTCTGGGTCTAACAACAGATAATAATGCTATAATAAGAAACATTAGTAGAGGTTTGAAACAAGCAAACAGAAATAAGATCCTTAAAAAAAATTACAATATAGATAATAAAGATTAAAGACCTTATTATAACAAAAAACATACAAATAGAGTTAGTCAAAGTGAAAACTTATAATAAAAATAGGAGAAATGATAAAACAGATAATTTAATAAAAAAAACAACAAGTAAGAAGATAATACAAACCAAAAAAGTCAGTTATAAAAAATAGAGTACTGTCAAGAGTAGAAAAAAAATGAACTAACATACTAGCAAATTGCTATATAACTTAATAATGAATGCAAGATTAAAAACAAAGTGAAAAGAAACAAGAACAATTAAAGACTTAGAACTAGAAGTAGAAGTTATAATTTATAATTAAACATATTTTTGAAAAAGACTAAAAATAATCAAAGAAGTACATTATATAACAAAAAGAAATGCATTTACAAAGTATATAATAGATAAACTTCTGACTCTAAAAAAACTTAACAGAAAAAGATCAAATGTATACACAACAACAAAATGCCAAGTATGTCAAGATAAAGTAAAAGAAATGCAGATATACTTGGCAGCATATAAAAGACAAAAAAACTTATAAAAAAAAATTCAAAAGTAATTATTACAACAGTCTAGAAAGAGTTAAAAGAAAAAGAAAAAGTTCAGATTACTCTATATATGTTATACACAATGCTTTTTGAAAAAACAGAAGCAGAGAAAGTACTATTTATAATATCTTTTTAATTTTTATCTATACTATACAGTGCTCACTTATAATATACTAATCTGGTATAATTTCTTAATTGATACTACAATTAAACATGCTTTAATTTCTTATCAAAATAATTAATTTTATTATTTATCAATATAGGTACACTTGTCACTCAAATCTTAAATTATTATAGTTTGAGTTGTCTGTACCCAAATCTCTTCATTTATATATATTATTATAGCTATATACTATAAATTTTACAAAATATCAATTATTTTGTTAATTTTTTATAAAAAAAATTTGTTTTTGGAAGTTTAGGATTTGTTTGAAGTTTTTCAGCAAGTATAGATATAGAACTACATATGCATAAATTTGATTACATAGTACAGTATGTCAAAAACATTGATGAAATTTAATTGGGTAAGTGGGTAACACAGATGATGATTTTAAGGAGGTAATGAAAAAATTTTAATTGTGTCTCTAAAACTGCTCAATATGTAAGTATCGAAGCAGTGTTTGTCTCGAATCAACTGAGATTTGAATATGTAACTGTCCTTGTTTCAGTTACATGTTCAATTATTCGATCAGTCTAATGATTAATTAGTTGACTGATCTAATGTTCAAACAAGATGAAGTAAGTATGAGGTAATTAGTAGGTATGTTTATGAGGTAATTAGTTAGTAATCGTTTAGTATAACTATAAGGTAATTAGTTAGTAATTATTAGTATAGTTTAAGTAACCTAAGTAAGAATAAGGTAATCAATAAGTAATTGTTATAGGTATATATTAGGGTCTATGAGGTATGTAGCTAGGATAGTCTTGTTTCTTCTGCAAATCTAATATTAGTTCTGGTTACATCGAGCAATATTGCTTTCTCATGATGAATATATCTAAAAATTCAGTTACTATAAAAGATGAGTCTTCATCTACAAATAGCGATATTGATTTAACTCAGAAAAATGATGTTGATATGACACAAAGAGCTGCACAAACTAATTTTGAAGCTAATTTTAGTCGTATATCGGTAGAAATGTTAAAGTTTTTATGTTACGAAATAGGTGTTTCTGTGGCAGGCTTAAAGCAGAATTTAGTAGGTCGTTTAGTCAATAAAAGCAAAAAGAGGTTTGGTTTGCCAGGTCTGGATAACTCTAAAAAAGGGAAAATGGTAGATATTGATAAGGGTGTAAAAGAAGTATATAAGGAAGGCAGTAAGTCAGATTTTGAGTCAGGTAAAGCTTTTGCAAAGGTTTTTAATAATGGGCTAGTGGTGACTGACAATGAAGAAGCGAAAGGATATAATGATCAATCTCTACTGCATTTACCTTTTTTGGCATCTGATACACCTTTCAGTTTGGATATGCAAGAAGGTTTATAGAAAAAATGTGAGCTAACCAAAGCAAGAAATTAATGGAAGTATAATGAGTAATGTAAGATGGGTTTATTGCTGGACAAGGCTCTTGTTACAGGAGATATTAAATATGTTTAACTGGCCAGACAAGTGGCACTTGAGAGGGCTTATATGGTTAGAGTAGCAGATGAGAATGAATAGAATGTAGCTGCAAGAATGGCATCAAGTGATGTGCTAGATCCAATATCAAAATTGTTTAGAGGAAAGCATGAAAAAGCAAGATTGGTAGCATAGCAGTTTTCAAGAAACAAATGTTCTAAAGTTTCATATAGGCAGGGCCAGACTTCCAATAGGCATTAAAGTATTTCTCAAGTCCATGTTTCTAGCCTATATATACCTTTATTTGTTCAATCTCAACTGTTTATAAATCCAAATTGGCAACAAGTTTTTTCACAAAGAATGTTCACTCCTCCTTCATTGAATAATATTTGGAATGAAATGCCTTCAAGAGATCTGGCTGGGCCTTCTTTCACTAATCAGCAACCAGTTAATAATTCCTAGTCCTTAAATCCATGGTCTAACATTCATAAACAGCAAACATTCTAGAGTTCTTCTGAAAATTCATATAGAAATACAAGATTGTCTAATAGGTTGACATCATCGAAGCAGGTTGTATGCTACTTGTGTGAAGGAAAAGGGCACTATGCTAATGAGTGTAGATCAAGAAAACATATAAGTCTGCCCTTTCATGCTGAAAATACTGGTTCCAAAAGGAGCTAACTACACTTGGATAAAGGTAACTTTGGGGTTGAAGGTTGTAAACGTGTTAGATGAGTTGCAGTTGGTTACTGGAAGACTTCATGTGGAATCAGCAGTCCATTATTGGAAAGACATTATAAAGCCAGCACCTATAGTAGTAGAATGGTTGGAAAAAAGAGTCCCACTTTTTCTAAGAAGTGTGATGAGACTAGCATCTTTACTAGTTCCCAAACAATGGCAGTTTACAATAGAGGAGAAGGAATGGATAGAACAGGAGTTGACCCATTTAACAACTTCAGAGGTAGTGGAATTAGTGTCAGTAGGCAAGTTAAGGCCAGAGGTTTTATTAGAAGTAAGCCTGGTGTTTGTGGTTTTCAAACAGAGTCCCAAAAAATTCAGATTGGTTATCGACCTCAGAAGGTTAAACCAAACCTTGCCAAGAAAGACTTTCAAATTCGAGGGCTTGGGAACCTTATTATGAACTATAGAAAAAAATTAGTGGATACTTACATTCGACTTAAAAGAAAAATATCATTACCTTCTAATGGATGATTTAGCATAACATTTTCTGGGGTTTGTGTTCGAGGAAAAGTGGTACCACTACAAGGTACTTCCATTTGGACTAAGCCAGTCTCTTTGGATATTTGTAAAGGTAATGAAGGCAATGATTGGAATTTGGAGAGCATGTGGTATTTTTTGCGAAAATTATCTCGATGATGTTTGAATTGCTCATTCTTCAAAAAACATATTGTTGAAACAGAGAGAAGAAGTAATAGTAGTAGATTTAAAAGGCTGTGGCTGGGTTCATGCAGTAAAGAAAGATAGCTGGGACCCTGTCCAAAATTCCAAATTTTGCAGTCTAGTGATAGATACATTAAGAGGATTGGTTATCGCACCCAAAAAGAAGATCAAAACAATGGTGTTACTATTAAGAACATTGTTGGAAACTTCAGTAGTTTTAATTTAAAAGCTTGCTTCAGTTGCGGACAAAGTTCAAAGTTTAGCAAGAGCATTTGCTCCTGCTCAAGTAAAGAGCATGGAGTTTTATCAATTAATAGATGCCAAAAACTGTTGAACAAACAAGTGGGACAAGGAGATAATGTTATCAAGTCAAGTGATAGAAGATGTACACTGATTAATAGAGAACTTAGCAATCTGGAATAGATGTCCAGCATGAAAGCCATCCAAAATAAAATTAGTATATGTAGATGCTTCAGTAATTGGGTGGTGTGAAGTATATCGAAATTTTGTTGCAAGTAGAAATTGGGTAGAAATGCTGTCAGCAAATGTAATTGCACAACTCGAAGCAATAGCAGTTCTTCGAGTTTTACAATCTTTAAGAGAGCAATTAAGAAGTTCAGTAATAACATTAATGATAGACAACAGAGTAGCATTAAGGACAATACAGCATGGGGGACCAAGAAAATAGCAGAAAGACATTGCCAGAGAAATCTGGAATGTATGTTTGGTGAAGAATATAAACATTTTTCAAGTTCGTTGGATCCCAAGCAAAAGCAACTTAGTCGACGGTTTTATAAGGATATTAGATCCAGAAGATTGAATACTAAAAATAGAAGTAGTAGAGCAGTTAGAGAATCTTTGGGAAAAGTTCAATATTGACAAATTTGCAAGCTATTTAAATACCAGATTAAAAAGGTTCAACAGCCTGTATTTCTGTCCAGGTTCAGAAGCAGTAGACTGTTTTTCTCAAGATTAAAAAGGGGTAGTAAACTATCTGTGTTCTCTTTTTGCAATAATTCACAAAGCCATAATGCATGCCAAGGAGTGCCAGGCCATCATAGTAATTATTGTTCTGATTTGGGTTTCTGTTCCTTGGTGGCCTATAATTATAAGGACAGTAAGAGAAGAAGTGAACCTCCCTTTACTTATAGATATAGTTCAGTCAGAGCCTTTGGGTTGCCTAGAACCTTGCAACAATGATCAATGAAGGTTAAGAGCGATAAGAATAGACTGATTCAAGAATGTCTAGTTCATGCAGAGTATTTAATAAGAAACTCTATTAGTGAAGCATATAGTAAAAGGCTAGAAAAAATATAGAAAATCTTTTTAAAGTTTTTTACAGAAACAAATAGTTCCTTCTTGCCAGCTTCAGGTTTGACAGTCTTGGCATTTATTGCATGAATGGAAATGTTGGGATGGACATCTGAACTTTCAAGTTATTTGGCATCAATCTCTAGAATTCATAAAATTTTAGGTTGGTATAATACTACAAAGGAAAATGCAGTTCAGTATGCAATAAATGGTCTCAAAAAGTGTGCAACTCAAAATTCAGATGCAAAGTGACTAAGAGACCCTTTGCCAATAGAAGCTTTTAAGTTTTATTTGGACTGTCCTCTACAAGGTATTAGTTACGAATTTTGGGCCTGAGATTTGACTATAATAGCATTGGGTTTAAGATTAATGAGACGACTAGGAGAGCTATGCAGTTTAAGATTAAAGGATATTAAAGTAGCTGATGATTTGTTGTGGATAAGAATTAATAAGTCTAAGATGGACCAGTTAGCTAAAAAAAAGTTTATTCCAATTGAAAGCACATATAGCAGATATTGTTCTGTAAGAAGTATAATGAAGTATCTAAATGTTAGACCAATAACAAAAGGTGATGCATCATTGTTTCTGTCTAAATCAAGAAAGGCAATGTCTGTTTCTGTGATTACAGCAGTAGTAAAACATTTTGCAAAGCTGCAAAGATAGAAGGTAGGTTTTCAGCATATAGTTTGAGAATTGGAGGAGTTACAGCAGTTATGAAAGGTGGTTTGTTAATTGAACAGATTCAGACTATAAGTGGCTGGGTATCAGATGTAACAAGATTGTATATAAAAGCTATAGGAACTGCTAGTTTGGGTACATCAGTAGCTATGAGGTTTGGAGATTAAATTTTGTTATGTACATAATGATGTATATAAAGTTGGCTTGTCAAGCTAATGAAATTTACTGTTTTATGATACTCTAAAAACACCCATTTGTGTTTTCTTATTTAAACCCAAAAATGAGAGACAAACAAAAAACTGCTCGATACATAAGTATCGAGACAGTGTTTGTCTCGAATCAACTCAGATTCGAACATGTAACTGTCTCTGTTCCAGTCACATATTCGATCATTCGATTAGTCTAATAATCAATCGGTTAACTGATCTAATATTCAAACAAGATGAAGTAAGTATGAGGTAATTAGTAGGTATGTTTATGAGGTAATTAGTAGGTATGTTTATGAGGTAATTAGTTAGTAATCGTTTAGTATAACTATGAGGTAATTAGTTAGTAATTGTTAGTATAGTTTAAGTAA